CATCCTTTCTACATCAACCTCAATCATGGGCATTTCATCCAGCCCTTCATATCCTCTGTCTTCATGTCTGATTTTTATCCAGTCCTTGACGAAGAGATTCAGATTGTTTCTAACATGTTCCTTTTATCTTTCCTCTATGGATGTTTATAAACATAAGTGAAACATTTTCTGCCTTTGGGTCTGGGGTTTTCTCCTGCTCAATCCACTATACTTCTTCTTATTGATTTTCTTACTTGGCTATTTGATCAGGGGTCTTTGTTCTCCTTGATCATAGGTTATTGGGCTGCCTTACCCAAAACGTTTCATTTTTTCCGGTACCATAAAGGTTTTACCTCTCCTACCCTCTCCCTATTGTTGCATTCCTTCCGGATTCATCGTCCTCTTTGGTTTGTAGTCCTTCTGGATTGGGATGTCAATATGGTTCTTCATTGCCTTATTTTACCTCTGTTTGAACCTCTATCCTTGTGTTTGATTTTACACTTATCCCTTAAGACATTTCTTTCTCCTATTGGTCTGTGGATGTTGTAGGTCAGATTTATTTGCCATTGACATTTCACGGAACCTATATCATTCCACATGTGTTCTCCTTTATCTGGATTGGTCTTTCCTTCCTAAAACTTCCCTTCCTTCCATTTCACACCCATATCCTTGGTCTGATTTGCTAGGTCCCGTATGTGCTCTTCATTGTTATATTAACTGCACAGCTTCCTTCCATGGTGCCCATTCTTATCTCTTCATTTTATGGCAGATATCAACTGTTCATGACCTTTCTCCTTCCACCCTTACCAATTGGGTTTGGCTTTTAATTCAATTGGCTTATACTTTTCTTCTTCTTCCCGTAATTTATTCCAGGTGCCTTCTCATCCTAGTAGACACCTTACCTTTTCCCTGGCATCTCATCTCCATTGTCCCTTGGAGAAATTCTTCAATCAGGCATGTGGACCACACCACATACATTCGTCTCTCATTATCTGCATTGGATTGTTGTTTTGTGATCGTCAGGATATCCTCTTCCACCTGTGGCCATTCTTCAACTTCGATGAGACTGTGACTGGGTAAATTATTTTTGTTATATATATATATATATATATATACCTTTTATTTTTCAGGGCTTTTCCCTTTTTTACTGTAAGGATCCAACTTTGTGGTGAGTGGTGTCTGACCAGGTATCCTCAAGCTAGTCAAATATTCACTATCATGCCATGATGACTTAATATTTATAAATTTCGTGGCCACTAAATGCTTACTGTTGAGATGAGGTGTTCCACAAGATTTCTTGTAGGTTTTATCTCACAGTATCAATTTACCTTATTAATATGCCTGCTCTGGACCATGCTCAAGTATGAACTTCATGGGTAAAGCAGAAAAGGATAGCTGCCCATCCCTGCCATTCCTTAGATTAAATAAATCAGGTGTAGTCTGCTTTTCAAAATAGGGTTTTCATGACCACCAATTGCACTATCTCCAGTGTTGACATTCATCCAGACTCTCCACTGCATTTTCTCCCCTCCCCTTTTTTTCTTCCAGTGTGGAGTATCCCTTACCACTTTCCAGTTCCAAGCTGGTGTTCAAAATTACAGTTCACTCTGTCAGTTAGGATCCCTCATCCTACTCCCACATGTATGTCAATTCCTAGTGGCTAAGTTTTGGATTCAGAGCTGGACCAATCAACATAAGTCTTCACACATGGATTACAGTTATCTCTGTCCCTTCACTCAGTTGGACTCTTGTTCACTACTATTGTGTTGTGGGTCACAGTGGAAGAACTTGCAGGTTACTATGGTTAATGCACTGGAGGTGGTTCCTGTTTGATGGATTTGACTGGACTATTTCACTATACAAGAACATCTTCAATTTTGTAACTTTGCTGTCATGTGTCCTGTTCACAGATAGGTGGGTATGATATATTCCTCTAGTCTGCTAGGTAAAGGCAGTATGATCCTCTTTCCTACCCCCACATGAATGGTGGTTCCTGGTGGCTGGGTTTTGGATGCAGTTGACTTGCTGTGTACGGTCCATCATGCCCGAGCCACTCTACACCTTGGGGTACATCCTCTTTCCTCTCACCCACATTACAGTCATCTAAAGAATTGAAATTCAGAATCAGGTGATTCATATCCGTATCCAACCATTGTTCTCTTCTTTGTGGCTGTGCTCCTCTCGTTTTCCGCTCATGTTTGCATCATCTCTTTACTGGGCGAAGATTATACCTAGTACAGAAGTAGTGCAGTCTCCCACACATGTTCCTCTAATGTGAAGATCTCCTCTTTAAGAGGGTTCTTTGGTCACTTTTGAAGAATGCTTTCCTTTGCACCAGTCTCTCCACCTATTCAATGTGGGATTCTAGCTAGTTATGTAAGCAGAGGTAATGTAATGTGTCATAAGTTATAATTTTCCTATACTGAAAATATATTTCCTATAAGTACTTACTTCCTTTCACAATTCCCACCCTTCCCGCCCATTGAAAATTGATGCTTCCATTTTTTGACAAAATACAAAATGATAGTTTGGTAGAATTGAATAGAGGGAGTCACATGCGTCAGGTGGGTATGTTGCACTCCTATTGATGGAGGGTTATCACATGATGATTTACATGCGAGATGCAGTTGAACCATGTTGATCATAGAGTACATGGGAGTTCAAGGCTTGCGGCATGCGAAAATATTTTTGCATATAGAGAACAGCACTGAACAAGAATAGCTATTTATGTAAGAAGTGGTAAGTACCTATCCATGATACATTTTCAGTATGGGAAAATTATGACTTTGCATGAGTAACAACCATATTATAATGTATAATTTACATTAATTTCCATACTTCTCGAAAGGGTGGTAAATAAATTAAATAAGAGGGAAGACCAAGAGAACAATTCTCATAGTAGGTCAGATTGAGGATTTTTTAAAATATTTCCTTATAAAGTTAAAATTTTAAAACTTATAATCAAATTTGATGTTTTGATGTCAAGTTTGTTTGTATACATTGATAATAGAGTAGTTTAATTAAATTTTGAATGTAACTCTGTATGAAGCTTAGCACACGTTTACTAAATAGTATATAGTTTCTGTTTGAAAAAGTCATCAAATTTGATTGAGTATTTCTATAATTTTTTAGGCTGTAAAATTTTTAGAATCTTGTTTTGTAAACTTCCAATTAGTGTCCTTTGTTCACTCCTACAGTACCTCAAGAAACTGCAAATTACTTTTAAAAATACTGCATTTACTTTACATTGATGTAGACAGATTATAATGTACATTTTTGTGATAGGACTTCATGCAGTAATGAAACTTCAAACACTTTAACTTACTTTTTTTGTGAATTACACTAAATAAATGTTATATAATGTCAAAATATTAATTCTAAAGTATTTTTATGCTAAATATGTTTAAAATAGAATTATTATTTTATACTTAAATTTTGAAATTTGATGTGTAGACATGCACTCCACACCTAAAAAGTGCTCTCAGGTCCAGACAGGGTTAATAAGAGTTTATACCCTCTACCACGTATTGAAGTCAAACTTGATTCACATTGATGTAGCCACGTTTACAAATTAGTGAAAATATAACTGTGACTATAGCTTTTCTTAATCAATAAGTTTTTAATTATATGAAATAGTAAATGTAAATTAACGTATAGATGAAGAAGAGGTTGTAAAACATCTACTTTTTTAACCAAGACTGTTATGTTCGTAACAATATTTAATAGTTTGTACTCCTAGAAATAAACAGAACTTTTGAATTCATTCATTTAAATATATGTATTTGGATTGAAATTCTAAGAGCCATTATTGAGTTATGTGTGCATGTGTCTGATTTATTCAGATGCATTGATATTAGTTAAGTTCAAGTATCTGCAAAATGAATATGAACATCAAAGGAAAAACAAGTTTTGAAACACAAGTGAACAAATAAAACACTATATTTCTTCATAATAAAACATAAATGTATTTTTACTGACTGTCCAATTTTGAGTTTTTGTTATGAATGCCTGCAAGGGCAGAGAAAAGGTTTCCGTGTCTACACAAAGCAAAGACAGGGTCAAGAAGAATGACATACCACATTGTTAAATTAGACTAAAATCCTATTGTGGTATTGCTCAATCCTTACATCATTTACATCATCAGTCATTCTCATTAAACATTTTCAAGAGAAATAAACATCTATCTCATACAAACTTTTATAACTCTATATCATCTCTTGAAATAAGTTTGATCTCATTCCAGGAGAACATGTTGCAGAATTAGGGCCAAGCAAATACAAACCTATGGAATAAACATTGTAGTATATAACCTTTATTTAAGGTAGTGGATTATTGCAAGTTTACAGCCTTCCTACTTCCTTCCTAAAATTATCATTATTTAATGAAAATTTAACTGAATGCTCCAGAGTAACAATATATTCTTCACTGTTTTAATGGTTATGAAAGGTTAAGTGTAATGGCATTTCCAATTATCACTTGTGGATATGCCCTGAAACTTCAGTAAAGGATCTCACAACTATGTTTATATGTTGGTTTGCAAGTTTCAACTCAAACCGAAAGAGTTAAAACTTTAAAACCAAATTTTTGATTATGTAGTATGGACAGCAATGTGATGTAGTTATCTAACAAAATACTTAATGGAAAAACTTAGATTTTCTAAAAGAGTACAGCTAATTTTTAAGCTTTAATAGTTACCAAATCAATTTTTCCTCAGTATTAAGCAGTTCATTAAATAAAAAGTTAAAAGTTCATAATTTAAAAAATTATTGATCATATATTGTAATATTTGGCCTGCTTCATTAGTGGATATAGAAAATTTTGTAATGTATAAATGTTCCATTCTTAGCATTTTTCTTTTTTTTTGTTTGTTATGTTTCAAAAGGTTAATAAAGTTATTGCTAGTAATAGACAGTTGATGGATTTATCATATATTGTTATAAAGCTTAGCTTATACATCTAATATGGTCCAAATATCTTTAAAAAAATTAATTTCTGAGATATCTTTCTTTATGTTCTTGTAGTATGACCCAAGGTTTGGGGATCCTTTCTGGAACAGCAGCAAACAAAGTTATGTTCACTATCTGTTAATGATGATGACATCATGGGCTATAGTTTGTGACGTTTGGTATCTTCCACCAATGACCCGAGGGGTGAGTCAGTTATATATATTATTTTTATTAACTGCAGACATAAATTTTCTTTCAATCACTTTTAATATTAGATAACTGACTTTGTTTCTGCTTAAATTTGAATGGGTTTTAATGTATTCGATTTGTTTTTGATTGTTTGACAACTCAGCAAGGATTTAACTCAACTATTTTCTTATTTACTTTTTCTAGGAAGGTGAAACAGCTGTAGATTTTGCTAACAGAGTGAAGAGTGAAATTGCTCATCAAGGTGGTTTAGTTGATCTTGTGTGGTATGTTCATTAAATTATTTTATTTAAAAAGTTTCTGTGATTAACTATCTCAACATGGGCCTGGTCAATTTGACCAACCACGTGACCTTTTTGTACTCGTTTAAAGTCTTCATAGATTTGATACTTCTAGCTTTCAGTATAGTGTGTATATCTTCACAAAGTTTGGTAGTCTTTCAGTTAATATTACAAGTCTTTCACATACAAAAAATCATTGTTTAGTGAAGTATTTTTAATAAAATAAAATAAAGATTTGTCCATGAATATATTGAGTAGTTGTTTTGAATAATCCGTGTTCAAAGTGATTTTCATGTTAAGATTGAAAATACTTTTCTTCATCTCAAAAATGTCAAATTTCCTTTGTGCAATCCCTAAAATCTCCTAAATACATTTCAAACGTTTTTATTGTTTTATTGCTCTTTGAACCATGTCTAACTACTATTTGCACCATTATAAGTTCTAAATCACTCGGGGAAAGTGCAGCTCACATTACACTATCGAATTACATTACCCACAAGCTACTACGAGCTGCTTGCATGTGTGCCTCATGAAATATTTTTATTATATTATTATAATTTATTTTACCTAACTTAATCTTAACTAACCTAAAAAGATCCGTATTTTTACATTTCAGTAACTTTTATAATAATGAATATAGAATAAACATGAAAAACAAGATATACAGTATTTACCCAATCTTCTTTTTTCTTGCTGTCAGTTGTCGATGACACTTAACCCTACTTTTTTATGCTAATGGTAGTAATGCACTAAATAATTTTTATTTAATTAAAAAATGCACCAAAGAACATAGACTAATAACTTACAAAAAGTAGACAATTTCCCCTAACTCTCAAAGTGTTTATGGCTTTCTCACTATGCAACAAGAGCCATTACAAATTAAT